TGGGCTAGATGGACCTTTGGTCTGACCCAGTACGGCCATTGTAAGCTCAGGGCTCAGGGTTGGGGGTCTCAGTGGACCACCTTGATTTTCATGCAAACCTGCTCCTGGGTGGCCAGGCTGGCAGCTCTCCTGCCCTAGACGGCCGCTTTCCTGTGGTAGTGTGGAGGTCGTGGACAAGGTCCATGATGTCTGCACTAGACCAGGCGGGTGTCCGCCTCTTGCGGTCCTGGGCAAGCTCCAGAGAGCCGCCAGCTTGGTCCCAGGAAGAGGGGGAGAGCTGGGGGGCATCGGGTGGCTGGCTTGAGCTGTGCCAGGTGCAGGGTCTGCTGGCTGGGTGCTGGCAGGCTTGCACCTGGCATGGGCACCGTAGCCAGCCCGTGCCCCTTTAAAGGCTCCGGGGCCGGGAGGGGGGCAGATGAGTTTCCCTGGTGGTGCCCAGAGTGGCCTCCAGGGAAAGCTGGGAAGGGCTAGCCTCCCACTAGTTCGAATTAAGGGGCTACACAGCCCTTAATTCGAACTAGCAGGTTCGAACTAGGCTTAGTCCTCGTACAATGAGGTTTACCTAGTTCGAACTAAGCGCTCCGCTAGTTTGAATTAAGTTCGAACTAGCGGAGCGCTAGTGTAGCGCCTAGCAAAGTTAATTTGAACTAACGTCCATTAGTTCGAATTAACTTTGTAGTGTAGACATACCCTTACTGGCCCCCAGGAGGGCAGAGGCTGGGCAGGCCCAAGAGGGCGAAGGCCTTGCCCCAGGGAGGGAGCCTTGGAGAATTCCAGGGCGGGGCAATCGGAGGGAGCCCAGAGGGGCTGGAGCCTGCTGGACGGACGCTGTGCTGGGCCTCGTGGGACGGACTGAGCAGCGAGCCTGGGACTGGGCTGCAGACGGACGTTCCAGAGGGGCTGAGACTCACCCCCGTTGCCTGTGGAAACAGGCCGGGTTCAACAGGCATGGCCCATCCCAGCACACATGATACAGCCGGGGGGTTGAAGAGTTGCCGCAAGGCAGGAAGCCAGGCCAAGCGTGTGCTCTGCTACGGGGCTGGCGAGAGGCGAGGGCGCCCTGGGACTAGCTCTGAAAGGCCCTGTCAGCCCCGTGGGAGGGACGGACTTGGGCAGGCGGATGCTCCACTGCCGTCGCGAGGGCTGGAAGAGGCCACGGAGAGGTGCTGAAAGCCCGTCAGGAGGTACCCAAGGGCTTAGGGGAGCCGTTCGTCCCTCTGCCAGGGCCCTGGGGCTAATTACACCCAGAGAGCTGGCCGGGCAGCACCCACGCGCTACGTTCCCCTGTAAGCACGGGCAGCACGTACAGCAGGTCTCCCACAGCATCATCATTCCGGTGACTCGTCTCTGCCCCCTCCCTGATCTACCGCTGCCCCCGGGACTGGGGGCATTGGAACCAGACGCAGGCTCCTGGCAGGGATCTATCAGCAGGGTTCCCAGCTATCTGGTTTTGAGCTTTCTGTTTGGGAAACAAATTGAAAAAAAAGAAACGAGGAAATAGAAATGTCCAGTATTTTCTAAATAAGATGTCATGTAGATTGTGATGTAATGTCAAGTGTGTTTGGTATTTTTGTTGAAACCGTCTGGTAACCCTATCTAACGGGCCGGGCAGTCTAGCTCCCAGCAGGGAGAACCCGGGGGCAGGACTCCTGGGTTCTGCCCCAGCTCTGTGAGGACAGTGGGGTCTATGGGTTAGAGCAAGG